GGGGCGGGCGCCCCGGGGGCTGAAGCGGCAGGCTCCTGACAGGCGGAGACCGACCACGACGGCCAGTCACCCTGCGACAACGCCTGCCGCCCCAGCCGCTGGCCACCGAACCCGACCCGGCCGCGGCAGGGCGGCTACCCAGGGCACCTCCCGCCCAGCCCCGCTCACCGGAGAACATCGCCCGCGTAGGTGAGGAGCAGCCGCGAAGTCTCCAGGAAGATCTCCCGCCCGCTCTGGCGAAGCTCGCTCAGGGCAGAGCTCGGCGAGGAAGAGGCCCAGGGCAGGCGCCATGGCGCCGCTCGCCCCAGCCGGGCAGGGCCGCCATCGCCCGGCGCTGCAGCAGGAAGGCGCGGCAGCACGCATGCGCACTCGGAACGGAGAGGCCACTGCCCTCAGACCCCGCAGCCGCTATGGGGGGGCCTTAAAGGCGCACGGCGGGGACGGGGCGAGGCGGTGGCTCCGCGGCCGTGTCCTGCCCCGGGCCACGCTCTTCTGGCGGGCAGCGGCCGTGCTGCCCCGTCTGGAGCCGGAGATGTTACAGGAGCTGCTAAACTACCTTATCGTGACGATTCTAATGGCGTCGCAATCGGTATCCTGAGCCGCTTGTGCAGTAGGGCCTCCTGGTGACACGGGGCCCTCAGAAGCTCCCCCGGGAGGCGGGAACGTTACAGAGGGATAAAAAAACCCTTTACACCACCCTTGTTTGCTTGCGCGCTCTGTTGGTGCCTCGCGTTCAGCCTCACCTAGGCTACCAGCATGGGAAGGCTACTGTAGCTACTTGCTCCTGCCTTGACACCTTGTTCGGCTCTACCCAAAGTCTGTCCAAATGGAGAAAAAAAAAAAAAAACCAAAACCAAAACCTAGTTTCTGTCTGCTTTTTCTAGATGTCTGGTTTGTGCTATTAGTTAAAGAACTGCAATGAAGACTCTTAGACAAAAAGGCCTGTGGGGCTTTGCTCTCTTATTTAAAAATTTCCAGGTAAACGAGGTCTTTATAGTTCAGGCTGGCTTGTGATTATTAGCTGACATTATGTGCCAGCTCTGCTGTCTGCTCCCAACAGGCCAGTCACTCCATGCAACTTCTATGATTTTTTTAAGAAGATGGTGCCTAGCCTTTACAAAAGCTGAGATTTAACCCAAAGTAATTCACTTTTGCTGAGGTAACAGTTATTATTCATCCTAGCATAGTTTAGAAGTCACTCATTCAGCCTTCAAAATCACAGAATTGCTACCAAAGTAATACAATTTTAATTTAAGTAATAGACAAACAACTATGTAACCAATGAGAATGGTGTATGCATAAAAGGATAAAGTATGTAAGATATGGGGGGAGCAATAAAGATGGCTATTCTGATGCAAAAAAGTTGTCGTGTCTGTCTCTACTGCAACATCCTATCACTTGTTACTTGGGAGAAGAAACCAACATACACCTTGCTACAACCTCATCTCAGGTAATTGTAAAGAGCAATAACCTCAGCCTCCTTTCCTCCAGACTTAACACCCCCAGTTCCCTCAGCCTCTCCTCATACAACATGTGCTCCAGACCCTGCCCCAGCTTCATTGCTCTTCTTTGGACACACTCCAGCACCTCTATGTCTTTTTTGTAGTGAGGGGCCCAAAACTAAACACAATATTGGAAGTGTGGCCTCACCAGTGCCGAGTACAGGGGTAAGATCCCTTCCCTGTCCCTGCTGGCCGTGCTATTTCTGATACAAGCCACGATGCCATTGGCCTTCTTGGCCACCTGGGCATACTCGGCCAGGAATGTGACAGCAAAGTTGGGAGCTGGTGAAGGATGGAGATCTGGGGGGTGCAGATAGCAAAATGGGGATTGGATGGGGATTGGGACTAGAGCAAGGGAACAAACTGTTGGCAGGAAAACTCTGCAAAGGAATTTGTTATCGTGGAATATAAAATGGACTTGAAAGAGACTACAAGATCTTGAGGAGCTCCTCATGCCTGTGTGTGCGATGGCTTTCAATTACAGAGTTATGTGCTGTACACCACCAGTTTTGACAGTTTCTGCCATCTCGGCGCTGAAATGCGTTGCAGTACGCGCGCAGTATTTTCAGGAAACCGACGGGAAACGACAAGATTTCCCTCACGACCTTACCCTCTTGCATATTGTTCCACTGAGACCGTGGGTTCGTTTGGGGGTTTGTCGGTTTTTTACTCCGCGTGTTTTAAATGCGTGGTTTGCGGGAGGAAGTGATTTCCTCGCCCTCTGCAGTTCTCAGGGCTGCTGAGGCGGCCGCGCCCCCAGCACGCCTGCACCGGCGACCTGGATGCCGAGCCCGGCCCCCCCCGCCTCCC